TTAGTCCATCCTCTTCCTCCTCCTCCTCCTCCTCCTGCTCCCCTCCTCCTTCTCCTCCTTCTTAAGAAGGAGAAGTGTCTCCCTCCTGACTCCTCCCTTCCTCTTAACGTTGTCCTCACCCGTTCGGTGTGTTTAGCGTTCGCCCCTCGCTCACGCGCCTGTCGCTCGCGGCAGCTGCGTCGCCTAGGGACCTGCTCCCAAGATCGTCTTGGGGTCTAGAACGGCGGCGGACGGCCAGGAGTCGTGCCAGCAGGGATTTTAGGGGGAGGGGGGGAGGAGGAGTAGGAGGAGGAGGAGGAGGAGGAGGAGGAGGAGGCGGAGGAAGGGGAACTTAAGGAGGAGAGGAGGAGGATGAGGTCGAGAGAGACACGAGGCTTGTAGGGGGATCTAGAGTATATCTGAGGTGGGTCTACGTGGGGGGCGGGCTTTCACGGTGGGTCGATCCTCTCGTTCGGTTCAACGCCGACCTCGAGATCTCTATCTTAAAGGCGATGTCTTTTCAAACTCACCGCCAACCTCACCGCCCGCGAAATTCACAGCGCAAATCAGCGCACAGTCCCGTGGAAACAGGTGCACATCAGCAAACTCACCGCAGAATCACCGAAAGTCATTGAAACTCACCACAGAATCACCGAAAGTCACCGAAAGTCACCGACAGTCACCGCAAACTCACCGCAGAATCACCGCAGAATCACCGAAAGTCACCGAAAGTCACCGCCATTTTTCGACCATCCGTCGGCCAGTGAACTCTGTTGACACTGTGCCGTGTGCCGCTCTATAGCGGCGCCCCCCCGTTATGTAGATGAACAGCGCGCCGCTCACAATGTACGCTGCAGCATGCCCTGCCCGAGCATCATGAACGCGTCGGGGCCCTGCGCCATGCTGTCGTCCGAGTCGTCCACGTAGAACGAGTCGTCGTCGCCTGGGGCAGAGCTGGCGGGGTGGATGATGAGAACCAGAATCAAGAGTAGGACCAGGGGATCAGGGGGAAGATGGAGGAGGAGGAGGAGGGGGAGGGGGAGGAGAAGGAGGATCTCGAGGTAGAGGACACCAGGATGATAAGATTGCCGTCGGAAACGGCGTGGAATCAGCACCTCAGTCAAATCGAAACCATCCCAGTTGCCCCATCCGAGCTCGTTTCGAATTCACCCAGGTGCTGATTCCATTCCCCTTCCACTTACATCTGCCCCCCTGTCCCCCATCGCCTGGCGCGCTCCTGTCCACGTTGATCTTCGCGGGCGCTGCATGCTGGGACATCTGCGACTTCTTGGCTGTGCATGCGGGCTTCTTGGTCATGGACGTCTCGCCAGCTGGAGTATCCTCACCACTCTTCGCGACCTTGCTCTGCTTCGAAGGCGGCGTTCCCTCCTCAGTGGCAGCGGGCCTCTTGCGGGCGACCATCGTGGCAGGCGCCTTCTCGTTCGGCTGTGTCTCCGCTCCTGCCTCCTCATCCTTCGGCTTCGGCTGTGCCTCCGCTCCTTTGGCCTTCTGCTTCGGCTGTGTCTCCGCTCCTGCTTTCTCATCCTTCGGCTGTGCCTCCGCTCCTTTGGCCTCGTCCTTCGGCTGTGTCTCCGCTCCTGCCTCCTGTGGCGCCTTTGCCGCCTCCTCAGGTGATGCCTCCTCAGCTGGCCCCTCCACCTCGTCCTCCTCCTCCTCCTCATCCTCCTCCTCTGGGGCCTCGCCACCTGGACCCTCGGGAACTTCGTCTTCTTCGCCGTCGTTGTCCCCATCCTCGTTCTCGCTCTCGATTGGGTTCGGTGCACCAGGCCCGTCTGCTTCTTCAGGCTGCACAGACGGTGCCGCCCGCTTGGCTGCTGCTGGCCTCTTCTTTGCAGCGTTAGCCTTCAGCGGCTTGAAGATGCGCTTCTCCTCTTCGGCCTTCTTCTTGTCGATCAACCCCGCCGCCAGCTTCGCCGCGATGCCCTGCATCCCCTTGATCGCGACATTCGTGTCGTGCTCGTTCGCGCCCGTCACCACGAGCTGGACGACCTGAGACTTCTTGACGCCGCCGCCCTCGTTCATCACGCTGATGAACTTCGCGTCCAGGTTGCCTCGCCTGTACTGCTCCTTCATGATCACGTTGAAGCTCGACCCGTTCGGCGCCTGGTGCGAGCCGATCAGCTCGTTCTTGCCCTTGGGTTCGTTGGCCAGGAACTGCGCCACGGTGACGGTCGGCACCGACCATGTCATGCCGTCGCTCCACTTCGCCACGATGTTGCTGTCGTGGCTTGCGCCCGCGGCCACCTCGATCTGGAGCGACGGCTCCTTGGGATGGCCGTCCTTCACCCTGTACGCCAGCTGGGAGCCGAACGATGCTTTTGGCATGCCCCCCCTGCGAACCCTCCTCCTCCTCCTCCTCCTCCTCCTCCTCCTCCTTCTCCTCCTCCTCCTCATCCTTCTCCTTCTCCTTCTCCTTCTCACTCTCCTCCCTCTCCTCCTTCACCGCCTCCCTCCTCCTTCGCCTCCTCATCCTCCTCCTTCTCCTCCTTCACCTCCTCCCTCTCCTCCCGGCCTCTCTCCCGCTCCCCTGGGAATCCAACTTCTCGGAAGTCAAGCCCAGGACACCAGCATTTTTCGGGCCAGGGCCGCCAGGATGACTTAACAGAAAAAATGAAGCCAGGCCGACAGAAAACACACGTTAAACAGACAACGCAAACAGAGGTCCTTGTCCTTCGTGCTCCACTGCTTCCTGTAGGTGTCGCTCTGCTCGCCCTCCCCCCTGACCCGAAAGACCTTCAACCACTCGGGGAGCTGGCTCTTGTCCTTGGTGCGCGTCTTGCACAACGCCTGCATGAGCAGAGCCGCGGTCGCCCCAATCTCCCCCTCGCCACCTTCCTCCACCTCCTCCCCCTTCCTCGCATTCGCCCTCATCCTAACTCTCATCTCGTTCGCAATCGTGCGCCCCGTCTCGCGGGGGGATTGCAACGATCACCAGTGATGAGAGCTTAGACGAGGGCGAGGGCGAGGAAGGAGATAAGGGGATGCCCACTGGAGAGAGTTGGCGAGGAGACAGGAGATGGGATGGACCGAGTTCTGCCCAGTGGCCTGGTCGACGTCTCTTCGAGCAGCCCTGGTGCGCAATGCCATCGACGTCGCCCACTGGTCGGCGTGCCCGTTCAAGTGCCAGGCATGCTCGTTGATGATCGCCACGGCCTTGAAGGCATCCTTGACGATCATCTGCGGCGCTCCTGGCGGAATGGCCTTGATGATGTCGGCGCCCTTCTGGATGGCCTCTTTGTCAACCTTCCCCACGAATTCCTCGGGCCGTCGTGTCTGAATGTGAGGCCTGAGGGTGGAGGGCATCAGGATATCCTGATCGCCTCCGCCCTCAGGTCACACATCCTCTTCTCCTCAACCTCCTCTCCAGGAAATCTCCAGACCCTCCAGGACATCCCCAGGTAGATTTCAGGACATCTCCAGACCCTCCAGACATCTCCAGACCCCTCCAGGACATCTCCAGACCCTCCAGGACATCCCCAGGAAATATCAGCAACGAAACCGCAAAGTCACCGACATTCACGGCAAACTCACCGATCCTCTCGGTAGCCGAAGAGCTCAGACGTCGTGACCAGCCCCGTGAGCAGCTCTACGAGGTTGGCCTGGTCCACCTGACTGTTTGATAAATCTGCTCCCCTCGGCTCATCCTACTGCTGCTGCCTCGTCCTCTTTGGGCTCCTCCTCCTCCTCCTCCTCCTCCTCCTCCTCCTTCTCCTCCTCCTCCTCCTTCCCCTCCTCCTCCCCCTCCTCCTCCCCTCCCTCTCGACCTCCTCACCCGCCTCCCCCTCCCCCTCCCCCTCCTGCTGCTACTGCGGTTGTTTCTGCTCCTGCTGCTGCTGTTCCTGCTGCTGCTACTGCTGCTGTTCCTGCTGATGCTACTGCTGCTCCTGCTCCTCATCCTGGGTGCCCACCTCGGTCCTCTTCTTCCCGCCCTTGGGCGGCATGGCAGCGCCGTGGCGCGGCGCAGCCAGGGCGGGGCGAGGGCATGCCACCGCCTGACCTGAGCCGTGCCCGCGGTGCACTACCTTGCCCTGCCATGCCTTGCAGTCGCTGCCTCACCCCTCGAACCCAAGAACCCATCACTACAATGCAATACAATACAGGCAAACTCCTAGTGTTGGTCGGGTGCAAATGCACATGCACCGAAACACTAGCAATGCAATGCGAGACACGCAAAAGCAACACATGCAATGCGATGCATGCATATCGCGCCATGAATATGTTAATGGATCTATAAATGTGTGTTGGATCTAAAATTGTTCAGTTGATCTTAAATCTTGTGTTTTACATTCATATGATTATGTAGATCTAAATTTCGAGATGTTGCTCTATACGAAACACACAAAATAAGCGGATCTTAATTTAAGATCCTGGGGACCTCTGGGTTATTTCAACATGAGCCGGGGCCTGCTTTTCCTCTCGAGCAGTTTGTGTTCGGTCCCAGGAACTGGTGCACGCTTCGCTCAGTTTGTGGTATGGTATGGTTTGTGGTATGGTTTGTGGTATGGTCATGTTTTTTGCTCACGATGCGAGAGGGCCTGGGACCGTGGAAGGGAAACATCTTGCAACAAGAGATTCGGAGCCAACTTCCATGATCCCGCTCTCCCCCCCTGCCATCATACTGAACAGGCGTTCCCGGACGCGGGGCAGGGCACATCTTGAGCCCACCAGCTCGAACGCAAGACTTGCGACCGTTTAGGGCAGGGGGGAGGGGGAGAATTGTTGGAGGCCTGGAAATTGGCACCAACCCTGAGCACAGGGGGTTGTCTCCACAGGGGGAAGGAGATCCTAGATTCATGTGTTGGTGGCAATCTTTCGGTCACCCTGGAAGCCAGAACAGTACCACCACCACCGAGATCGGGATCGTCTTCCCTCGGTGGAGGCACACTTCCGATCTTGGTGTTGGTGTCAACCTCTAGGCCTGCGAAATTGGGTTCTTTCCAGGGGGGGGGGTCCCCGCGGTTCCGCGCCGTTGGCCTTGCTTTTAGTCTTGCCCGCCCCAGGCACGAGGACGCGAGGAGGGCGGTCGCGGAGCGCCCCGCCTCGAGCATCCGGGTCGGCGCGCCGGCGCGGCCCTTCGCGGTCGGGGAGCGCCTGGAGCTCAACCCCGACGTCAGGCAAGGGCTGGGGCCCATCTCGATCCGATCGATCCGAGGCGATGCCGAGGATCGAGGGTCGAACCTGGACGTTCTGCTTACTTCTCGGGCTTCCCGGAGCACCTGCGTCGCCACGGCTGGCCGCGCCCTGGAGTTCTGGCCAGATCGAGAGCACCAGGACATGTCCAGGGATCGACTTTTCATCCCAGGCCCAGACTTTCTCGTGTCGCGAAGAGTTCACGGCGGACGTTTGTCCACACCCGACAGGTTGGTAACGCTTGGTGGAGAGAAGAGAGCTCCCGTCGACCCACCCTGCACACCGCGGGCGCCAGACCCCACAGCCCACAGGATCCTGGGGTGTACCGGAGTATCTCGCCTTGCGTCCGCGAGGAATGGCGGCACCATACCGCGGGCGCCAGACCCCACAGGATCCCAGGAATCCTTGAGTGTCCCGCTTCGCGTCCTCGACGAACCCCGAGAGGGAGGCGTCTGGGCGTCACGCCGTCCAGAAGCCACGACGCATGGTCAAGGAGGCACGACTTGTCTTCAAGAGCGCACAGCAAAAACGCGCACGTCTGTCATCACAGACGTATTATTGCATACCTCCGCAGTCCACATTGTAACATAACACACCGTGGTACAACTCAGATCGAATGGCATAAGACAGCAAAGCATATGATACTCGAACCAACCGTTCCACACGACCGCACACCATAGCATACCATACCACATCCTCATACAATCGGTAGAAAAGAACATGGCAACTTATACTATGACACTGGCTGCCGTAACATTGTGTAACATAGAAACCACACAATGGTACACCACACGTGCTCTACTACGGCTACCCCTACGATAACGAATATTAGACAGCATGAACGTGTATCGCGTGCGGGACCATGAATATACACACCATACCATGACATTGCATACATAATGTAGTAGCCTAACACATCATGTCATCACATAAGACATCATATTGTATAATATCATGACAGGACTAATCATAGCATAAGACAGCACCTGACGCCGTATATACAACAGCTCATCCAGTGACAGACCAGGGCGTACCGGAGTAGAACAGACCAGAACGTACCGTAACACAGCATATTTGCTTTATGAATGTCACCACTGCGACAGCGAATACAGTATACAGTAAAGAACGTACCATTGTTCAGCATTCCATCCGCACCGTAACAGACGTTATGATTTTAGAACGGCCTTGTCATAACATAGTACGGTATACCATACAATAGCGGGGCATACCATGGCTTGCTATGATATCACACACCCAACATAACACAGCATGACAGAGGATACCGTACCATCGCATACCACATCATGCTGTGGCAGAGCGGGGCTTACCATAATATACAGAACATAACATACATGGGTTGTTCTGCCGCTACTACGACTAAGGCAACCCATTGAATGTAATCTATTAGCATGAAGCGGAGCTCACAGAGGTAATCATACAATACCAGGACCCGCCGAATCATATTGTCATAGTAGCATCGCAAACAGCAACCATGGCATTTTATTTCGTGAACAAATGAGAGATCCGTTGTTCCTGACAATGTCATAACACAGCACGTAAGAATAAACGAAACGAGCGTAACCCACCATACATGCTGCAGGCGGCAATATCATGGATTTGTGAATGAAGCATCATATAAGAGCTGTAATGCAAAGCCTGAGTCATAGTACACGACACTACCAGAATAGTGGGCCTGCCAACGAGGGTGTATCTATGGGTGCGAGACCACAAGAAAGATTACGGTTAGAACCGAATCGGAGAGAGTGTTTCCGATAACCAGAAACAGAATATTGTCGAGTAGTGTGGTGCATAAGGAAGTTGAATGTAACACAAAATAGCAGGACAGAGTGCGCTAAATCATACCGCAAGAGAACAGAACTGGACATAGCGTAATACAAAACAGTCAAGCCCTCAAGAACCGAACAGTCGCTGACACAACAGGAAAATAATTCATTCGCGACACATTAAAGGTGCCCTATCAAGCGCGACGTGCGCGACGAGGTCATGCTGGACATTGGAACGAAGATGTGCAGCAACGACCGATTGGACGACGTATCAAACGTAACAGGCGTCACGACGCAACGCTGGCCCGTCCAAACAGAACGAGTTATGATATATTGTAACACAATTAAGCATACGTGATTCTAACAGAATCGAAGACTGCGGCATACTCGAAGACCGATTTACGGCGCACCACGAAACTCAACAGGTCAACCGATGTAAGGTTGACCACAGGAATACACCACAGGTATACCGAGCAGAAGAGAACATACCATAACATAACATGATACATTAAAATGCAGCAGCAGCCGAGCAAGGGCGCCCTATCAAGCGCGACACGCGCGCCGAGCTCAGGCTGGTCACAGTAAGAAGCAGTACCCGACTTGGAAACGCACGCCGAAGGTATCGGTTGGGATCGCTCGAAGCAGAAGAATTGTTTGATGTTCCTAACCACATTGCTCCATGTTCAAACACAGTGGTCTGCATCTGGGGGGCCCCTCCTGTGCCCCGGGGCTGTCAGAACAAATTCGCGATAACAGGCCAGTCCCCGGGATGGTGTCAACCGTCTGGGGGTCCACGTCGTGATACAGTCATGACGTCGGGGGTCTGGGCTCACCCATCTCGACACGAACCGGTGTCGATGTCCGGGCGATCCGATGCGGCCGCCCGGTGTTTGCATGGCGATGCCGTGCATTCTAGCGCGGCGATTCGAATTCGGCCTCGACTCCGTGCACACATGCGGCCCCATGCGATGCACATTCCGATCCGATGCAGCTTGCTAAATCGGTGCTGACTCATCCTGCAGGCTGAAGCTCGAGGAGGCGAAAGCAGCGCTGGGAGCCGCGGGCTTTGCGGTGCTGGGCCGCGAGTGGCCGGTCAGCGGCGCTGCAATGGGCACCCGCTAACGGGCATTTCGGAGGTGCCCCGAGAGACGCGCAGAGAGCTGCCGTTTTTGGGCTTCGTTCGGACATAGCAACATGTGGATGCAAGGGAGATTCATAAATTCAGCATCGGCGCTGACATGTCCGTGGTCGAAAACCGACTCAATCTGGTATTATCCCGCTAAACCAAATTGAACCTAGTGCAATCCAGCTTAGTATTGGGCTTCATGCTGGGCGAATCCGGCTGAACGGCCCCATGAGCGGGCTTAATAGCCCACAGCCGTTCTCACCAAGACCTCCGAGACGTTGCCTCCCAAGCAACATTGCCCGCAGTGGGGCGCCCGTCCCCAGACATGCGACGTCTGGTTTGTCCCCATGCGGGATCCCCAGATGTCCCGATCCCCTTCCCTGGGGCCGGCTTCTCGTCCTGGGTCGGTTTTCGCCGGCTTCGGGGCCCGGCAAGGCCCTCCCCCCCCCTCCCAGCAGGCCCAGGAGAAACACGGCAGGCCAATCCCCGCCCAGCCTGCCCGCTGGTGGGTCGCCAGCCGCAGTGTCCGTTGGCGAGGTCGCCACCAGGGCGGCGCCGCCCCGGGCGGCGACGGCCACGAAGGGAACGCCATCGAGGCGCTGCTGTTCGGCAGCAGGGCCGTCAACGGTGAGCCGCTGTCGGCGGCGAGCCGCGGGTGCCACCTCCTTAGATGTTCGTTTCGGGGACCTTCCCCCAGACGTGCTCGCGTCGCCAAGGCATCTCGACGGTGGAGGGGGGGGGGGTTGTTGGCCGTGTTCGGTCTCCAGGGGCCGTCGCCAGGCCCCATAGGACCGTGAAGCGACGGCCCGGGAGGAGAAGGCGGCCCTTGGGCAAAGGCTCGGGACTTCTGAGGACCCCGTATCGAAACAATCAGGGCATCGCGTGTCTGGACCTGGGCCCACCTATGGGATCTGTTAGATTCTAGTTAGAGATTCAAGATCGACTCAAGTTCGATTCAAACTCGATTCAAGTCATTGGATTTTGCAGGATCGACGCACGAGTGGTGCGAGTGGTTTCAGGAAGGTCCCCAGAACGATCATCTAAACCTCCTGGCCTCGTCGAGCATGGGGCTGATGGCGACGTTCGTGCTTGAGTACCTTGACGCGCCTGTCAGCGTGAAGGCAGGGTCCACTTCGGAACTGGTCGATCGGATTCGATGTCGCTTCCGACTGGACCCGTTCGATCCGACTTTGTCGGTCCGACGCGTCCCCGATGCCCGCATGGCGCTGCAGTGCATCCTGGTGCGGCCGATCTATATATATATATATATATATATATACATCTATGTATATATATATATATATACATCTGTATATATATATACACATACACCCTCCAACGGATTGTTCCTGTGCCTCAGGGGAGGGTGGCGATGTGTGAGTCACCACTGAGAGCCATCGGCTTTATACACCGCTGCCCTCCCTGAAGGTACATGCAAAGTTCGTCAGAGGGTGTCTGTGCATATCTGCTCATAGCGTAGCTCCAATCGAATTCCGACTTCGCGCCGATGCGGCCCGATGCGACGCACGCTCCAGTCCGATTTGATGTTTCCCGATTCGATGCCGGCTGATCCTGTGAAGGAGGTGCTCGCTGACTGCGGGAAGGCGGGGGCCGCGCATGATCCAGGCTCGATGTTCCGCCTGGCCTGCGGCGCTAACGAGACGCAGCTCAGGTACCTGATGGGACCTTGGATCATCAGGGGTAACTCGGGTCAGGGATAACTCGGGTTCGTTTTTCGGGAATCCGAACCCGAGTTACCCCGGACCCGAGTTACCCCGGATAACTCGGGCGTCCAGAGCCCCGAATCATCAGGGGTAACTCGGGTCAGGGATAACTCGGGTTCGTTTTTTGGGAACCCAAACCCGAGTTACCCCGGACCCGAGTTACCCCGGATAACTCGGGCGCCCAAGGTACCTGATGGGACCTTGGATCAAGGAGTCGAGCAGGAAAAGTGGCATGAAAAAATCAATGTGTGGAGCTCCGCGCGGGCTTTTTGGACTGGCGCCGTACCTCTCCCTCCCTAGCGAGCGGAGCGTGCCCGGGGCGGCGCCGATCCAGGAAAGCTGCGCGGAGTTCTGCACAGTTCAGTTCTATGCAGCGTTTTCTTCGTCTGAGGAGTGCGCCGGGGTTTACAATTCCTATTTTGACGAGACAGGGGCGGATCTGATCGTCATCCCGTCCGCAATGGCGGCTACGCCAGACCTCGATGCCCTTGCAGGTGCGCAGGTGCCCGTGACGCCCGTCGGAGGGACGGTCGGTGACGTCAAGGGCGACGAGAACGATGCGTTCGGGAGCATCAATTGTACGCTGAAGTTTCTGCACATCTCGAAGACGAACAACTGCATAAACATAAATTGTCGGAGCTCCGCGCGGATTTTTTCGATCTGGGCCTGGGCCCCCTGGCGGCGCCCCCAAGCGCCACCTCCGGCGCGCTCCGCGCGCCAGGGAGGGGCCTCCCAGCGCCGATCCAAGAAATCTGAGGGATCGCCTGCAGCTTATGTTTATGCTGTTGTTTCTTCTTCCGGAGTCCCCAAGATGGTGGTGCCCACGGGGCTCACCCCAGATGGCCGCCCCACCGCCGTCCAGCTGTGGGGCAGAGCGGTCCCCTACGACAGGACTCGGGGGCGGGGGAGCAGGAGGAGGAGGAGGTGGAGGAGGAGGAGGAGGAGGAGGAGGGGGCGGAGGAGAGGGCGAGAAAAAAAGGGGTGCAGACAGAACCTTCCGGAGGGCTGCGCGGACCTCTGAGATCGGCGCTGGACCCCCCCCCCTCCCTGGCGCGCGAAGAGCGCGCCGGGGGCAGGACGGGACAGGACCGAGCCGGCGCCGATGCAGGTCCTCGTGCGCCTGGGCCCGGGAGCGCCTCGCGGCTGGCGTTGTGTACGGATGCTTGGCGTGCGATGTGGCGCCGCAGGCTCGTTTATGTTGCACGCTGTCCCCCACCTTGGAGATGGCCCGTGGCTCTCAGGCTTATGTGACACGCTATATGCCCCACCTGCTGGCTGTGGCTCGGGGGTGGACAGAACCCCCAACAGTGACACGTCGATTAGTGAATTGTCCGTTTTCGGTTCTCGAGAAGGCGCCGTGGCCGTTATTTTCCAGGCTTGCGCCCGCCAGGTTTGGGCCTCAGGTCGTTTTCACTAAACCACGTTTTGCTAAAGGGGGGTCTGTCCATCCCCGAGTGGCGCGCACCGACGAGGCCCTCGCAGGGGGACAGCGTGCGCAGACGGGGTGCTCTCGCAGGGGGATCGCCCCCCACAGAGCTGCGGCAGGCTCACGCGGCGAGGGGGCGCGCCGGCGACGCCAGCGCAGGCGTTCAAGGCTGAATTCTGCGACGGGGGGAGCACCACGGTGATGCCACACGACCCGACGGAATGCAACCTTGAACGACAGTGGCCCCAATTCTCGCTTCGAGGCTGAGCGATCGACGCGGTGCTGAAGACCCTTGCGCGTGCAGACGCTGCACGAGCCCGCTGCAGCGTGCCCTTCGGAGAGTCGGAGGAGGAGGTGCGGAGCCCGCGTTCCTTCACGCCGATGGGTGCATCGCCGATGCATCGGCCATGCCGCGCGATGCTTCGACCCCATCTATCCGGACCCCATCTGGGATGCAGCCGAGAGCTCCCCCGAGAGCCGACGGTGCGAAGGACTTGCGACAGCGCCAGGGATCGCGGCCACAGCCCTATATATATATATATATATATATATATATATATAGACCCCAGCTTTCTCTGTGGCGCTTGTCGAGCTGGGCCGATCTGTGGTGGTCCCGGGGCCCGAAACGGGGAAACACTTTGCGGTGTGCGAGAACATGGACCACCTAGTTCTTATCGGGGAAACGTAAGACTCGAGTAAGCCGGAACTCGGGTCTGCCGACATTTTTTGACGAGCGTGTCCTGGATTTTGACGGTCCAGTCTTCGTGCGATGGTTGCAGCGGGAGCTCGCGTCAAATTTCAGATTGGGTCTCGTCATTTATATGACGGCCCCGTCAGGCGAACCCGAGTCCCCCGTACCCGAGTCTTACGTCTCCCCGATCTTAGTGAAGCTGTCGTCTTCTGCGCTTCCAAGGATGTTCGACGACAAGTTCTCGGCCAGCTGGGACGTCGAATTCCTGCACCTGGCCGAGAGGGTATCCTTCGGTAGCAAATCGTGGGAGCCTCGTATACCCTCGTAACTCCACCGTTAGAGTGCACCAGCGTGCGCTAGCGCCTGGTAGTCGATGGGAGAGCGCCGCTTTAGCGTCGATTAGCGTCGATTTAGCGTCGACTGGCGTCGACTAGCGTCGGCTAGCGTCGATTAGCGTCGACCAGCGTCGACCAGCGTCGACCAGCGTCGACCAGCGTCGATCCGCAAGAGCCAGCAAGATAGCACGGTCGGCCCGAGGTACAAGATCGAGGTCGGTTCGGGGAGGGTACCCTAATGTTCCTCGTGTTTGTTAGATGTTCTCGTGCATCCTCGGGGAGGCTACCCTCGTGTGGTCTTATGGCCTGGGGTGCCCTGGCCGGCGGAGGCTCTCGTGTTCTGGAAGGATGTTCTTCAGCCTTGGGTCCGACTGTGCGGTAGGTCCGCGCCCTCCTTCTCATCCACCTCCTCCTTTCCCTCCTCTCCCTCCTCCCCATTTCCCTCCTCTCCCTCATCCCTCTCCTCCTCCTCCTCGTCCTCCTCCTCCTCGTCCTCCTCCTTCTCCTCCTCCCCCTACTGTCCCTCATCCTCCTCGTCCTCCTCCTCCTCCTCGTCGTCGTCGCCTTCGGCTCACACGAGTTGCCACCGACGTGTCCGCGGCCATCCAGGGGAGGCCCGGACTGCGGAGGGCCGACGCGGCCCAGTTCGCGCCCCCCGCTCCCCCGCGCGGGTGAGCGCCCGCGCCCTTTTTGCGGAGCCGGCGGCGCCGTCGAGGCCGCGAGAGGGCCCAGGAGCCTTCGAGGGTCGAGGATCCGAGATTTCGAGCTTCGCTTGGAGGTGCGGGCAAGGTTCATGTCCATGTCCAGTGTTTCTTGGCCTTTTTCGGAAGCGGCGCCACGAGGCCGAGGCGCACCGGAGGGGGCACATTTTTATCCATGTCCAGCGCGCCTCGGGTTTTCTTGGGAAGGGAGCCCGAAACTCCATGCTGCAGTGGATATGGACAGAAGTATTGCCCGCAGGAGGGGGGGGGTCGAGAGGTTCGAGGGTTGACGGTTGGATTATGCCTCTCCCTCCTTGCTGGGCCTCCATGGGGGCTTCTCGTCGCCCGGGCCGGACCCGCTTCAGGAAGTGTGAGGGCAGAAAGCACCCCGGGTGCGTGTCAGGGATTGCTCTTCAGCTTTTGTGCCCAGCAAGTAAAATGACTTGGGTAGTTTTCGGCCCCCAGAGGCCGTCACAGAACGACTCAGGAAAGAAAACCGGTCCTTGGGAAGGGGGTCCAGACGTCTGGGGAGCCACGTTGTCAACAAAAAGCGCGACGTCAGATGTTCGGGGGAAAGGGCAAAAAGGAGGAAGAGGAGAAGGAGGAGGAGGAGGAGGATCGATGGTCTTCAGATCGTGTGCTAGCCCAATGTTGTTTCCCTCGTTCAGATCCGCAGGTAGCGCGCAGCCCGTGCCGGCATTCACTGCACCGCCTGGGTCGTAGTGAAGGGCTTCCGTGGACAAGCGCACGTTGGCGCTAACACGCGTTCTGACGATAATGAACAGGAGGAGGAGGAGGAGGAGGAGGAGGAGGAGGAGGAGGAGGAGGAGGAGGAGGAGGAGGGGGATGAGGAGGAGGAGGAGGAGGACGAGGAGGATGAGGGGCAGGAGGGGGAGGAGAAGGGGGAGGAGAGGGAGAGGAGGACGAGGAGGAGGAGGAGAGGTATGAGGGATAGGAAGGAAATGGGGAGGAGGGGGAGGAGGGAAAGGAGGAGGTGGATGAGAAGGAGGACGATGAGGAGGAGGAGGTGGAGGAGGACGCGAAGGAGGAGGAGGAGAAGGAGGCAACGCGTAGTGCTCATTTCCAGGCGGCACAAGAGCGGCTGCTGTTCGAATTCACGGGTCCGCCTGCGCGCCCGCGGGTACGTTTTCGACATTCGCCGTGGCGAACAGGGCCTGATGTGGCGCAGAGAAGGAAAATGATCCCAGAGGTTTGCGCCAGCCTGCCGATCCCCACAGGAATCGATGAGAGGAGGAGGAGGAGGAGGAGGAGGAGGCACAGGAGGAAGAGAAACAAACAACAAACACATGCAACAAACAGGAGGAGGAAGAGGAGGAGGAGGAGGCGGAGGAGGAGGAGGAAGAGGAGAATGAGGAGGAGGAGGACGAGGAGGAGATTGAGGACTAGTGTACGCCCAGGACACGTCAACGATGCTGCAACACGCCCCCCCCCCGGCCCAAGTCCGTGCAGGCATTCCCGTTCCCCGTGAGAAGCGCTCTCTCATCAGAGTGCGCCACGTGAGCATTGCAAAAAAGACGGGGGCGTCTGCACTGACATTCGCGTGAGGTCGCGCGTGAACGCCCTCGTCTTCAGTGTGGCCTGCTGCGCCGGCGGCCTCTGCGTATGCCGCGGCGTGAGGTCGCTGTGCCATCTCGTGCAAGGCCCGTTCCTGATCGTCGCTCTCATGTCTGGACGCCCGAAATGGGCACGGACAGAATGGGTACGATGGCCAACAGCAGTTCTTATTCGTTCTGAACAGGACTCGCTGTCCGCGCCGCCGCGGCCTGTGTCCATTCGAGACAGGAGGCCGCCCGCCCAACAGCGGCCGCTGTTGGTTTGGGACAACATTTGTTGTTGGGCATTGTGCCCATTCTTTCCGTACCCATCTCGGGCGTCCAAATCATGGGCCTCATGCATCGTTCGAGCTGTCAAACGCTGCGAAGAGGTGCTCCCTTCCAGTGGAAGGAGAAGTGCAGGACAGCCCAGGGTATCGAGCATGCCGGCAAGAGACAGAGCAAGTCGAAAAAGAAGCAACGCCATAACCATGAAATTTTGGCGCTGCGGGCGGATGTCTTGGATCCGCGCTGGGGCCCCCGGCGGCGCCTCCCGCGCCCTTATTGTCGCGCTCCGACTAGAAAGATTCGATGTTCATCCGTCCCAGGTCCGGCCGCATGGAAGAGGGGCGGAGGAGGAGGATGCGCAGGCGGAAGAGGAGTTGCAGGAGGAGGCCTTCGCGAGCTTGAGTTTGGGCCGCGTCCTGGGGTTCTTTTGGCTTACGGTCGGACCTAAGTATGAGATCGCAGTCGGTTCGGGGAGGGTACCCTCATGTTCTTCGTGTTTGTCGGATGTTATTGCGCATCCTGGGGAGGGTGCCCTTGGACGTTCTGTGTGCTTTGGCCGGCGGCGGGTCTCATGTTTGTTGAAGGATGTCTGGCCGAGTTTCGACTGCATCCTGTGGCAAGACCAGTGGCCTCTTGGAGCCCTCTCGGAAACTCTTAGAAGTCTCGGAGCTCGGAGGAGGAATATGTACCCATACCGCTACTGCTGCCCACACCGCTACCCTTTGTGGGCGTCCTGGTGGGAGGCTCTCGTC